AAGACCCGCCTGTAAGATGAATATTCAGGAAAAAACATAATCAACTCAATAAAAACTTTAGGCAGACTTTAGGTTGTCAGAAATGTTACTTGTACTCGAAGTCCACTTTTTGGAAGGAATGAAGCATAATTTAATAAACTCTTTGAATACACAGACTAGCATGACTTTGCTTTCATAAGATTTGTTTAAACACCACATACTTTTAACAGCATACGCAATGGTGATTTAATACCAAATCTGACTGCAGGTCATCTTGTTATGGAGCAAAATTAAAGAATGAAGATAAATATGTAAATTGTAATCTTGATGTAACAATGCTTCAGATTTCATAAATACAATGACATTGTGAATGCCAACATCAACTACTTCATGTTATTCTTACATAAGTTTAACCATGTCCAATGACATATGGTTTATATATTCAGAATACCAGAAAGTAAAGCTCAGCCCTAACATCAAAGTGAGAATAAATCATTTTAAATTCACTTGTGTTACTGAATATGTCAACTGTAATGCAAAATTTAGCTCCGCATTTCCAGCAAATTGAAGTGCATCAACTTCAAACATGGTTGCCATGGTCATCAAGAATTACCAAATACTGCATTAATAAGAGACGTAAAGCCTGGCTAAGATACAGTTTTAGGGGACAAGCTAAGATGCAGTCTTAGGGAAAAAACAACCCACAGATTTATACCCAAGAGAGGCAATAAAAAATACTGGAGAAAGGAAAAAAAAAAGCATATGAGGGAAGGAGAAAACAGGCAGAGCAGGGCTATTAACAGGCTGCTGCCAGGCTGGAAAAGTCTTGTCTGACACTTTTAACTAAACATAATTTAAACACCAGACTCCCTCAATTCAAATTCTTTCTAGGAAAGACATTAGGTTAAATAACTGTGCTAAAACCCACTAAAATTATCAAAACCAAGCATTGATTTGAAGACAACCCCAAAGTGAGGAAACAGAGCATGTATCTTGCACAAACAAATCAAAATTAGAGCAAATGCACATATGCAGTGCGAATTTAATTATACTTGAACTGAGGAGTTAAGATTTAAATTAATACAGCTGTTAGTTTTTCCTCACATAAGGTACTAGATTGAAAGTCTAAGATATGCAAAATAGAGAAGTTTAAATATTTCTTTAAAATACCAGTGAATGCTTCTTTCTTGAACTCAATTCAAAGGTAGTCTGATAAAGCATCTCCACAAAATTTTTCAAACATGGCACATTGACTTCGTTTTTAACAGCCTATTAAAAAAATATACACATAAATGGGTTTAAAAGCTTATACTGTAGGCAATTTAAATATACATTAAGATGTTCACGAGTTCAAGAACATTCAAAAGTTAATCTTATATTAGATAAGTATTTGAGTGTATTTATCTGAAATATAAATAAAAGCATAAGAAATCATGTCATACACTACAACCATACAGTTACAAAAACCCCACAACAAAACCCCAAACCCACAAAAAAAATCCCTGTTGTATGACCCGTATGCCATACTTAATGAAGAAAATTTGCCACCAACTAACAAATAATAACTATACTGAAACTCTTTACAAACATAATTTCATATATAAAAAACAAACAAAAAACCCTTATAATAAATCGTTCACTCTTCCCCTCTTCAATGTGCCTCCAGTTCTGAAAACTGGAAACTGAGGAAATGACACACAGTGTTACCAGCCAGTCAACCATATAAGGTTTGGCTTTTAGAATTAATGAAACAGATACATGGAGCCCTACACCTTTTAACCCACTCTGTCCTTGCATTACAGAACAGTTTCCCTTCCACAAACCAGTCAGCTACCTTTTTTATCAAAACCTCTGCAAGTCTCTTAGGCTTCTCTCTGGATACCTGTGATGATCCATTTAAACATCCTAATGAAACCTAATTTAGGTTGCCCAAAGAAGTGGTAAATGCTCCATCCCCGGCAGTATTCAAGGCCAGGCTGGTTGGAAAGAGCCTTGGGTGACATGGTCTAGGGTGAGGTGTCCCTGCCCATGGCAGGGGGGTTGAACTAGATGATCTTAAAGTCCTTTCCAATCCTAACCATTGTATGATTCTATGATTATTCTTAACCTACTATTTTATACTCTCTTTCTGCTTTATTTATCAAATTGGGATGTAGGGGTGGGATGTTTGGAGAGGGGGTTGGCTTTTCAGGAAGAGATCCTCTACACTCATATTTTTTTTCCTACAACACAAGGTAATTTTTTGTTAGAAGCTGTTAAAAGATATGTCATGTCTAAGAACACTCTGAAAAAATTCATGAAGGGGAAGCATAAAAAATAGTATATAATATCTCTGTAATGTGTACAGTCCAAAAGGAAAGAACTGAGAAGGTAGTTATGTTTTAAATCACTTCCTACATACCCCCAAATTCTTTCTCTTTTGCTATTCTTAAGCTAGCTCCACGTAGGAAACTAGCCAGATGTTGCCAGCACCACCCTGTTGCTTTGGGATATAACCATGGTCTTAAAGACCAGCCTCAACTTCCCTGCTGTAAAATACGCTGTCATCCGTCATATCTGCAGGGTCCAAATCAGGTCATATTTTTTTTAAATGCCTGAATAACTAAGCAAGCGAGTAACGGTAAAGAAGTCACAATGCCAAAACCCAAGAGCTTCCTCACTTAAGCCATTTTCTCTATCCAAGATGCAGAAAACTAGATTCAGTTCCTTCATCTGCTTCAAAAAGATCCAAAGTCGTCTCACATCTTCCAAGAAAACCTCTCAACTGCATCTCAATCTGGGATGGACTATGTGCTTCTATTTAAAAAGCTCCATTTGTATGAAACAATTAGAAACAAAACAAGCTAGAAAGAGCGAGCAAGCCTCCCTCACCAACCATTTAAGGAGCTGATTCAGGCTATGCTTGTAGGAAGCAACCCACAGAACCCCACACATGCTCTGCACAGCCAGTGTGTGTGCCTCCGCAGCTACCACCTGATATCCCAATTCCGAAATGCTGCTTCTACCTCATTACTATGCATGCAGTTTTCACTATATTTAAAATTATGATTTTGCAAGCTAACATTTGTGTTTACCTAAATGCTAAGTACTTTCACTTTTTACTTTGTTCAAAACAAGTGCATTCACTTTTTAACAAGACAAGGAATTCTTCTCTAGAAGAGTGTAAGTATGCCCAGCTAAGATCAAGACTTCAGTCAATAAACAGCTATTAGTAACACTATCTCCTTGTGGTGGTGTCTTAAGAAGAAAGGTTCTCTCCTTTCTAGTATTTTTCAAAAAAGAACCCAAGGTTGAGCCAGTGAAGGAAATTCAGAGAGATTTACCTTTCTTTTCCTACAAGCTTGCTTAGATGGGATCCCCAGCTGGCTTGCTAGCCTTTGTAGATCCTGTTTTGTCCCAGTTCTCCATATACAGCAAAATATGCCCTATGTCATAACATAGAGCCCTCACCTGCCATTTTTCGGGGCAGTGTGCTAAACACACTGTGGCCTAGCATTTGTTAATACCTTTTTGGATTGACCAAACTGTACACAACTGAGCAAAAAGACCTAGGCAGAAGGGGAAGAACCTGTCCCGACTGAAAGCGCTCTTACAAGCGGCACTACAAGCACTGTACACACACCACTGTGGTAATATTGAGGTTTTTTCTTGTTCACAGCTGCTGGTTTTAGACTTAAAATACAATCGGGAGATGACTGACTCTTCTTCCACTTGAAGGATTACATCTAGTGAACACTCACTTCTATAATTTTTGTTTAATTATCCAAACCCTACATTCTTCCTTCTTGCATGGGAATTCACATTCTCCCTATTGGACTGTAAAAATGGTACACATCTCAGTTTATTCTAGAAAGAACTTAACAGCTTTCAGCTATTAAAAAAATTCAACAGAGCACTTGAGGGAACAAATATTAAACCAAAGAAATTTCAGATTTTTAGAGCAAGTATAAGATTACACAGTGCTCTGGTGACAAAAGGGTCTAGAAAACAGACAATTTTAAGAAGTTCTGAAAAAAAGATGGTAAACTAGATAATACACAAATCACACTCGCATTTCTCTCGTAAAAATTATGTAGGTGCTTGTAATTTACTTAATAGTCTTTTTGAATCTGTAAAAATGTAACATTGTGAGACTTAAGGGAAGCAATTCTAACAATGAGAGCCTAAGTAAATGTGAGGAGCATAGTGGGGGAGGGGGGTGAACCAACATAAAAAGTAAAAATACTTACAGCAGCCACAGGGATGAGAATTTCCACAAACAAACCAGCAAGTGCATGTTTTATATCTTTATCTTTTACTTCCAGGAAGTACTGAGCACATTCCTTAGTAAGGAAGCATCAGAAAAATACTTAGAAAAATGAAGACAAGTGTCACTATGTCATAAAACCCACCAGCAGTATCAGATTAATTGCCAGTATGAATTTAAAACATGCAGCGTGTTTAAATGAGTCTCATATTCCTTGACAATATCAACTTTACAAAGCATTAGAAACTTTAAAACCCGCTTCCCCAGCAATTAAAAAGAAATTGGAAGAGCATTTGTAATAGCAGATAGCTATTTACTTCCTACTCAGAATAAAAAGAGTTCTCAGAATATAAAAGAATATCAATATGCACATTTTTCCTCGGATTATTCTTAAGTTTTAGAAAATAAATGCTTATCTCTATTGAAATCATTAGAAAATAGTTGGGGTTTTTTTATATACTTTTTTTTTCATTTTCAAGCTGACTGTGATGCCAAGAAAATTTCGCAGAGACATACATAACCCATACAAGTGTTTGCACACTCCACTATACCAGACTGAGCACTCTGGACACAACCTAAAGCACCTATGCGTATGTTAGGTTTTCAGGATTGAGATCAATATCAATGACTACCAAACAGCTCTAATAAAATTTATGACCACGTTGCAACACTTCCACAATCAAGAGATGCAAAAAAATAGATTTTAAGTATCTCTGAAAATTAACTAAATTGTTTTTTAAAGGCAAGTGTTTCTTGGCATCTCAGCTGTTAAAAAAATATATCTAGTAACTTTTTTCTTTAATCCACTGTTTTCATACAGAAAGAAAATTATTTGATTGCTACCCATTTGCATTTAGTCTTGAAAAAATTCATATATTACAGGTTTGCCACATTACTGAGACAAGAGAGAACAGGTTCTCATGCTAGGTACTCACAAACTGCAGAGAAAGAAATGATTCACACCTCTGAAAGCTTACAAACTAAACAGAAAAGGATGAAGGATGACACACAGGTAGAGTGAGCAACTGATCACAGCAAACATCATTCTAGCTTCATGACAAACATTGAAAGTTATGCTCATTTCATTTTTCTGTAATACTCATTTACCTGCATGAACTGAAATGATGCTTCAAAATCCTCCACGGGATACATCTTTACTCGGAAAAACTTCATTCCCATTATCAAACTGATGATACTTTGTACTACATGAGGACTCTGTTCTTTTTGTCGCAGTTCCTTTAATTCAGTGACAAACTTCTTCCTAACAGCTTGGAATCTGAACAAGGGATATAGATGTCAATTATTTACATTCTTAGTTACTTTTTTATGGTATCTATAATTTTAAAATGATTTTTTTAATCTGTTAATGGTAATAGCATCTACAGTAAAAGAAACACAGGCAAGATGAACCCTGACACTTAAAACCTAAGCAGAGTGCCTCCGATGAACAGCACGTGAGAATAAACTCATTAACTTTACAACAACTTTCTGATACCAGGCCTCCTTTCCCTGCATCTGTAAGTTGACAGCAAAGCAATTCAGTGCTGTATGAAGATTATTTCTTTATTTGTTCAAGTTTATTGTGCTAGAAGATGAAACAGGTATGCCAAGCTACACCTGACTACATTTGGCACTTAAGGGATTAGTTACTGCGGTCCTTAATAAATGCTGCTATATTCAATAGTCTTTAAACCTGGAGTGATTTTTTTCTGAAACACAAGAAGAATTGGAGACTGAACTTACTTTGATTGAGCAAGAACCCCTGTCACTTCTGCATATAGGTCTGCAATAATATGCACATTCCCAGTGTTGGTTCCTGAATACCTAAAGATATTAAAAAGAAAAAAAAGTGTTAATACAACTTTCTTCTTCTAACCCTCAAGCGTGTTCTCAATTACAAACAAAAAGGTTGTTCCCTAGCAAGGCAGATTACTACTACAAAAACAATAAAAGTCAAGCATAAAATGCATGGGTAACATTTAAAGTGATACAGTTTCACTGCCTGGACATAAGAGACACATTCTGTATAGGAAGTTTACTACAGTTATCCAGACTCTGACTTTTCTTACTCTGGCTGGCTACGCACATCATTCTGTATATTCTCAGCAAAATAAACTCAGCATTATATTAAACATGATACTGGCATCACAGAAACATGGTGGGAAGGCTTCTATGAAAGGAGTGTTGGAATGCAAGGTTGTAGGGTCTTTAGGAAAGACAGGCGGGCACATGGGGAGGGGGTGTAGTTATTTATGTCAATGGTCGGCTGGAGACTCTTATTGGGGACGGGTGATGGGCCAACTGACAGCTTGAGGGTCAAGGTCAAAGAGAGAACTGCGATGGGGGACATTACTGTGAGGGTCTGCTACAGGCCACCCAATCAGAAGGACTAAAGAGGGTAGTGGGTTTAGGTTAGATAGGAGGAAGAAATTCTTTCCAGTGAGGGTGGTGAGGCACTGGAATGGGTTGCCCAAGGAAGTTGCGAATGCTCCATCCTTGGCGGTGTTCTAGGCCAGGTTGGAAAGAGCCTTGGGCAACATGGTCTAGTGTGAGGTGTCCCTGCCCACGGCAGGGGGGTTGGAACTAGATGATCTTAAGGTCTTTTCCAACCCAAACCATTCTATGATTCTACGATTTTACAATTCCCTGAAACACAGCTGTGTTCTCTCAAGATACGTTTTCAGTTTAAAGACATCAATCAGTGTTTGTTTAGAGTATTATCAGCAACATGTTACATGTGAAGTAAAGGAGAACAATCACAGCAATCAAGCACAGGCTGGTATAACACAAAATATTTTGAAGTACACAAGTGAAACTTACCCTTCCTTATGTTTAAAGTGCTTAAAAGCCAAGTTTAGAACTTCATGTACTAAAGGATCTGGCACTGGATGAACAGGTATCTGAAATGCAGATACATTTTTAAGTATGTAACTACGCATGTATATATACACACATATGTATGTATGAAGTAAATAAACAGTACTCTGCAACGCCATGTAAAAATCTCTCCCACAAGTGTCACAGGACACATCCTTTGTTGGCATATGGTATCAAGTTAATTCTGCAATGTATGAACGCTTAAGGGGAGCTGCACCGAAATTCTCTTAAATTATTCTGCATACTGGCTTTTATGGTTTAAATTAATAATAAGCAACAATCATGTAAACACTATGAATATGACATCTAAATTTACCAGACTAGGTTAACTATGCATCTTTCTACACTTTCTGCCTTGTGAGGTGTTACTATTACAGATTCAATCTCAAAACACAGTTCATCTCAATATAAAGGAAGACAAAACCAAAAAATAAGAAGGCAGAAGAGATGATCATCTCCATTTTAGACTTTCTGCAGATGAAAGCAGCCAAAACATATAAAACCCTTCCTAGCAATAAGTAATAATTTGGTGAGAAACCAAAACCAAGCATTGATTAGAGAGCTCTTTTTTACTGATGTTCTCTTTGACATCACCACTTTTCTCAGGTTTAAAAGAAAATATTTGCTTAAAAATTAAATGTATTTTTTAAAAAAGCAGTATATAAAATTATGAAGTCATGATATCTTTAAATTTTCAGAGCAATTTATGTAGGGACTAGGATAACTCTAGCAAACATTATTGCTTAAAGAATGATTAAGATTTTCACTAAAATACGTTAGACGATTACTGTCTTGTCTGCAGAAAATGAAGCATTTTCTGACTGAGAATTTCATACACTTCTGAATCAAGAAAGCTATTTGTCCAAGAAATTCCAGTTACTGGAACTAGCTATTCACATGCATATTCATACAATGAGTAATATGTAGTTATTTAAGCAAAAGATTTTTGTTCCTACATAGGTTGTATGTGTCACACTCTCTAGTTGCTCTGTGCATTTTACAGAAAGGGCTGGATCATACCTTTTGCACCCACTAAAACCAATTTCAAAGAATTAAATAATGATAGGGTTCCCAGGATGATGAATGTAATTTGAATGCAAATATGTTTACTGATAAAAAGCCATCCTTTCTGCACGTTGGCTGCTTCATTGCAGACTCGAATTAGAGGCAGAACCCTCCTTAAGATAACTTTTAATACTAAATTGACTGAAGGATTCTCTTACTTGGTTTATCTCTGTTTAGTGGCCCACTGCAGGTCTTTAGCAGAGAAAAATACCCTTATCAGAAAAATACCTATCTTGCCTGGAGTACAGGCATGAGAGGCTTATCACCATTAGAGGAGTCACCACAGACTCTTCAGAACCAAAACTCTGGCACCTCTCCTGGCACATGAATCACTGGCAACATGTACTGTACTCAACAGAAAAACTAGCACCAGTTCAAAATACAGAAGCTATCCATACAACCCTCCAATACTAAACAACCTATTACATTTCCCTTTTTCTTTTGCACTGATAAGATTTAGGCAGGGAGAGAGCATGAGATAAACATTTTCTGTAAAATACTAACACATAAGAGTTTGATAGTTTTAATAGTGTTCTCTGCATCTATGTTCACGTAGTATAGGAATATCACTTTGTCTTGGAGAAGGATAGGCAGCTTTTCTTTTTTCCCTATGTCACAAACATGTCATACACAACCACGTAAACATCACTCTCCCAAAAATTATTTGCAAACTAAACCACAGTCCTTGCTTTACTTACTACAGAAATCCATTTGATTTTCCTGTATCCATACATGTAAGACAAACTACTGAAGTATTTGAAACATGAAATTTGCTTGCCTGCTTCATGTTTCAAACTGTTTCCTACAGTACTTTTTCTCCTCTCAAAAAAATGTGAGGAAAGAATGCTGCTATTTGAAGCCAAACTCTATCCTCTTGTCCATACACCAATGAGAATTTTGCATTAACATGTAGCATGACATCTAGCACTACACTGTAAGTACATACCCTTTCTATTTCTTTTAAAAAAGTGATATTTTAATCCTGTCATTCAGTGATTTTATACTGTATTTCAAAAATGTTTAAGTAGACAAAAGGTACTGAACATAAGTAAAATGTTATTTTTTACAGTTTTGCTTTTTGCAGTACATCAGATTTGACTTAGTGGACCAAGACATGTCAACTGAGATAATGCAGGCATATAAAGAAAAGGCAGGAGAGGTCGAAGACTTTATGTAACTGAGAGTGTAATTACAGCCTTGCATATGCTCATCATACATACGCTCTAGTTTTAATATAAAAATTTAAAGGATATGATCAAAACTGACATTAGAAGCAAAAGATTAAAAGAAGTTTGCCAAAGCAAAGGAGCTTACCTGTTTTAGAACCTCTATTAAAACTAAACAAAAAATGAAATCTACAGCTAAGTCCCTCCTTTCAAGTAGATAATCTCTTTCACGTTGTTGGTCATCCCTAAAGTAAGAAATCAAGAACACACATATCATACACAAGACTGAACACAAGTACTGCAGAGAAGTGGTATACATGTCTTTCATGCAATCATTGCTGCACATGCATATAAAAGGAAGTTCTTTGGGGTTTGGTGCACCACTGACATCTTGCCCCTTCCTGAAAGGACCTGCCAACAACCAAAACAATTCAAAAAGGGAAAGACGAGGTTGAAATTACCAGCATTCAACCTCCTTCTGTACATTAACCCCAAAATAATTAAGTCACTTCATACATATCATCTATGCAAGCTAAATACACTACCTCAAAGAAGCCCATACTCTTTCTACACAGATTTAGGTACTAACAGATCCAAATACAAAATACTTGTCAAAAAAGCACCAAGTACCCATTTTCTTACAAGAAAGCACACAAAAATCAAACACACTTTTCAAGGAAAACCCTTACCCCTTCGATTTTGTGCTAGACCGAGGTCTATATTCATAAGATTCATCTTCTGTTCCATTTTGACGCCTGTACCAGTCAAACAAGGTGCGTAATAAGGAAGGGAGACAGTGCTCTGCTACTGAGCTCATAGAGCTTATCAACTGAAAAAAAGTAAGAAAAATACTTTAGCATGACAAAGCAATCTAAAAATCCCAGAATTATAATCTTTTTTTCAAATTGGGCTTTAATGCTAAAAATCATGTATCATATAATGTTACAAAGTGGCAACTTTATGTATCATTTCCACATAGGGCAATTACTATAAATATGACGCACCAAGTCAATTACTATAATAAATTTAAGCAACGCGTTCCAAAGCTTACAGGGATCACGGAATGCTAAATTTATAGAAATAACCCATATAAAGCCACTGACAGAAAAAAACCCCAAACCAGCAGACATACTAGGATGTCTCTGAATCTTGCCATGATTCTAAAGTTACATGGGTTTTTTTTCCCAAAGCTACATGTACAATTCTACGATTCTAAAGTTACACGTTCCTTTAGAATTCTGTGATGTACAAATTAAGATGTTGTTCACGAAAATTTTCTGACAAACTTCGTTGGAAAAAAAAAATAGTGAAAACTTAAGAGGGAGAGGAGAAGATGAAAGAAAAACTACGAGAAAATTTGACACTTGTGGGCTATTAAAACTACTATCCTTCAGTAAGAGGAAGCACTGGAAAACAGAACTTGAAAGACTCATTTGTATTGATAAAGCTTTGAAAAATCTTCATTGAGATTTCATGTGCTGCTTGCACCAGCTTGGGGCACTCTGACATCTCTGTTGACCTCATTCCAGCCATGAGAAGAAATCACAAGCTAAAAGCATTAATATATCTGGGGGGGGGAAAATTACTCAGAAAGCAGGAAGAACGAACTCTCCTCATGAGTTACTAATCTAAAGGTATTAGATTCAGCATAAAATCATCAAGGTAATCCTTAGAATAAAAGCTAAAGCTGAACTTGATGAAGAAAGGATCTATCACCAATCACAGCAATCCAAAATGTGTTTTGCCTTCAGGATTTACTGTCGATTCCCATATTCCAAATAACCTAAACACAGGGCAAGTACATTAATTTCACTTTCTCTAAAAATAACAAGTTCTCAATCTCTAAAAATAATGATATATCCAATATATTGCACAGTGCTATGTTCATACAGCAAGCACAAACACAGAAGGACAGGAACAGATGAAGTGAGCACTTAAGTTACTCATTGCTCTCACAAAGCATTTCTACTCTCCTGCTCTCCTTCTGGATTGATGTGCTTATTAGTAGAAGAAAAATAAGAAAACTGCATTTTAAGCTATACTAAATCTTTTCCTTAGGTTTTCCTGCAAGCTTACACAGTATATTAATACTACTACCACTCATAAGCATTCCAGCAGTTAGGCAATTTACATCATCTTCCACAGAAACAAGCTGTAGCACGTGGATTAAAAATTTTGTCATTAGTGAAGTGCTAAACCCAGAAACTAATGTTATAAAGCATTTTCCTCTTCAGATGAAAAATCAGTTTTACATTATAATTATTTATTTCCTGTCAAGTTTTACATCCTTAACATTCTAATGAGAAGACACTAGAATTATCAGAAAGATGAAATCTTTGTTCATATTACGTAGCTGGTAAGCAGAACACAAGTTATATGCTTATTCTTTTTATTTAAAATAATTGCCATACCTCTTCGATACTAAATTCAAGATTGTCTTATATAAAATTATAAGAAAACCCTTTTATTTTAGCATTACATTATGTCTATGTTGGAAGCAGCAATCCAGACAAAGAGATCCTGTAATGCCCAAGAGGACAGGGCTGCACTAGTCATCATGACGCATACTTATATTCCTTGGAACAAAACAGCGAAGCATGCTCCAGTCTTAAAGGCCATAACACATTGTTAATTGCTGCACTCAATATACCCAACAATACACTGAGAAGTCAGGAGAGAGAGATGAAAAATTATAGTAAGATGCTAGAGCCCAAATTCCAGCTGTGGCCAAAATCCTGATCCTGAAAACGTGGCTCAAGTTGTGCCCAATCATGAACAAGTCTGAACTCCAGAGATACATCTGCTTTCAGTCACTGAGATGGCTAAGATACACTTCTGCATGATCATAAAGTTTTGGTGTCTTAGGACAAGAGTAGGAAATTGCCAAGTATGATTCCTACAAGAAATAAAAGAAGAAAAATAGGAGCTATTTTGGTTTCAAGCTGTACAAGCAAAAATATTTTAAGAAATGCAATATATGCGCTACGAAAAAATTCCTGTCCAGTAGCTTCTTGGTGCACTAAGAATGATAAAGGGAAATCATACTAGAATAAATTAAAATGCTAAAATAGTTTACAGGTGCATCAACATAAAAAATTCCTTCTTATTTTCCAAAGTTCCATCTCTTTTAGCTAAACTTATATCTGTGTTCCAATTAAAACCTCAGTGACAAAGAATTGTCCTATTTGAAAATTAAAAACTATTCATTTTGCACACTGAGCCTGACAGCAGCACTCTAGGTCTGCTTACGCTTCCAACAGAAACAACTTACAACCCCATTAAACAGCTATTTTACTTTTTCATTATAGGGACAGGCAACACCACAAACCTTTCTCCTCCACCCCTCTTTTCATCACTTACTGAGCTGAGAGAGAGAATGAGTGTTAACTATATACCTTCTTACTCCTGGAATATTGCCTGTGTTTCAGTCACACTCTTTTTATTCACAACGTACAACACTTACCAGCTCAGAAACTGTATCAGTAAAGCTAAAGCCACTTTTTATACTCAAATTTCTAATTTCATAAAGATCTCTAGGTGAATAAGGTTGGCCCAACAACAGCTCTAGCTTCTCTGCTGGATCCTCCTCTCTGCCATACCTTGCTAATCTCTTTTTACTCTGCAATCTTCTGCACTGTTGGAGAATTGATCTTAATGTGGGTTTCATACACCCAGCAATGAACAGAGAAAAGTTAACTTAACTCCTTTTGCCAAATGTTCAAATTTCCATACCAGAATTCACAATCCCTGTCACCACAAGGGAGCCATTCTGCTCTGTCTCTCTAAAGTAGTCAATCAGCATCATTACATTCAGATCTCGAAGAACCCAAAGTACATTACAATTAAAAATAGAACAAAGTAAGAACATACACACACATATATAGCCACAAAATCAAAACAAATTATTTTTAAAAGTACATTCTTAGAAAAACAAGTTTATTTTTATATCAAAATATTTCAAAAGTTATATGTTTTTTTTTCTTCACTCAGCATATTTTTAGAACCTATTTGTAATTTAATACATGATTATACTAGTGACTTATAGAAAACAACCTTAACTAAGGAAAAACACGGCAACAGTAAGGGGGGCAAAATTAGAAAAATTAACATTGCTGATTTACATATTTCTTTAGATATTCCTATTATGAATTTTATTTAGCTTTTGGTCAGCTTTAAAACAAAATACTGTAGCTACCAAAGAATTTATCGCTCATTTTCCTTGCTTATGAGTAAACTTCAACTTAGGAGCTAACGGCCTTACAGAAGGTTAGGTTAGAAAACATTAAAAGGTTATGTGAGATTTCTGGTGGTAGCTTTGTTTTTGTTTTTCTTTGAAAAGAAAATTACATATCAAATATAATGTGCTATTATTTGTTTCTCTTTTGGGAGGAGGGAGAAGAGGTGCACAGATGGCTATTAACCGAAAAGTAGGGGCAGGTCCACAGATTTCACTGCAATGTCTAATACCTATATCCAAGGAGTAATGGAAGGCATGAAACAAAAATCCAGTTACAGAAGATATGGATAGAACACTAAACTTCATACAGTAAGATGCTGTTAAGAACAGGAACAGACAATTAATGAGCATTTATCTGAATGCTCTCTCTCCATTGTGAGGAAGTAGTTACAAGACAAACACATGCCTATGCTAAGAAAGGATGAGAAATACAGACAATGAACATGAATAAATTGAGCTGTTATTCCAGGTACAGTTCACTTACTGTTAAGTGAAACAGAATTGCCTCACAGTGGACCTATATGCTCAGCAAATGAACAGCAGCATTCTGAAACTACCTTATGCCTTCTTCATAGAATCAAAAAGCCCCCAGTAAAAGCCATGTTACTGAAATTAACACTATTTGCTTAGAAAAGCAGTACCCCAAACACTGGAATAATAAGTGATATAGGCTGAGATTACACAGGAATAGAAATAAACTGAGTCTTTTTGTCCCCTACCACATTTCAGCATCTTTTCTCCAGCAGCTTTCACTGCCACCTTCAAATAACTGATGTATTCTAGTAGTTCTTACTATCATACTCTACACTGGAAAATAAAGTCTTACTAACATTCAAAATATAAATCTTCTGACGCCGATTCAGATGTGGATGTTCCAAGTTAATGCAACAGTGGAACCACTATTCCGCAACAACAGTCTACCTTAATCCAATAAAAACTGCCTTCAATTACATGTGTCCTACCTGATCAAACTGAAGATCTTCACCTCTTTGAAGAGATCTGGACAAGAGCTTTTCCTGTTTAAAAAAAAAAAAAAAAACAAAACATAAAGAGAAACATGAATTTCACAATGCAACTGACTTATAAAAGACAGATCCCTTTTTTTCAGTTATAGTGCAGAACAAAAAAATGACCTGTCATGTGAATAGCTGCATTATTTTTCAGGTAGAATCATTTCTGAAGATGTGAAGTGTACTCACATAATTGAAGAATGCAGATCTAAAATTGTTTTGATAGCAATAATGTTAAAGACTGACACAAAAAATGTCAAACACCTCCCCAAACTGCAGGGCCTGCAGCCGCGTGCTCAACAGAGATAGCTCGCAGTGGCTGCCAAACAGAAGGAAAGCCTTTCCCATCTGAATTAACAAGCATATCCATGTTCATGTAAGGCAGTTATTCTAAGCTACAAGAATGACTTTTAAAATGCCTTCACAAAGGCAGAGACAATTGTTCAATGCTTTTCCAACCTGCACTTTCCCTGAACTGCAGTGAAAAATAGCTAGAAAGCCTAGTCCAGGAAAAGGAGAATGTCAGTAACTTGCTTTACATTTGAAGTAACTTTGTCAGGTGCAAAAAAGATGCAGTATTACTAGAATTTAATTATTACAGTATTTCATTGCTACCAGTACCATACAACATACTGCTCTGTTAAAAGCAAAATTAACTGACAAAATAATTTAGTGAGAATTAAAGCATTAAGAAAACAAACTACTAGTACTGTAATAGTAATTCTTACTAGTCACTTTAGACAGTACCAAATTATACAGTTACACAAAACACAAGATACTGGCTCTGAAGATTAATGATTTACAGCAAGCCAAGTGCCAGAGTAACAGCTTTTATGGCACACTACAAAGCAGTAAGATATATAAAGATGTGATGAGCATTTATTGCTATTTCAAGAAATTTTAAACTCCTTTTCACTTTATTATAAATGCATGGAAAATGTTATCTTTGATGAGGAAAGTAGAAAATGTACTCAAGGTAAGAAGTTAATAGCTCACGTGAGATTGCTGAGCAAACAAAGAGCATTTATGGAGGAAATTAAGTCAAGTAGTAAGCTGGAAGAGCTGTTAACTTGTCTGGTCAGGGATGTAAAAGGAGATGTCAGCAGTACAGATAGCCAGGTTTTTTAACACAAAGTAACTACTTCGTAATTTAGTAAGAGACAACACCCATGCTGTCAGGCTGTTGACAAAAAATTTTAAAGTTGATACTGCTTGGCATTTAACACTTGCAAGACTGCAACAGACAGGCTGTATGTTAAACAGATACAAATTGGCATTACAGGAACAAAGTCTAAGATCCAAACTATTTCCCCTCAACCTAATCATCATCTTGACAACACTAGGCAATTTCTGGCATTTTCTGCTATGACTGCAGTTGTATTCGGTGTTCAAAAGGACACAATCTTTGACAATTATTACAGCCTCTGAAGACTTGAATTCAACATTGCCCAGGCAAAAAGCATTTTCCTACTCTGAACGTATATAACTTGAAATAATACAGGTACCAATTCAGAAGTCATTTTCTATAAGCCAAAGAAACCTACTTAATAGTCTAAGAAAAGTCATTTATGTTCCAGTACACCTAAATAAAAATATTTTTAAAAAGAAAGTGGTTTCAGGAAATGCATTTAATACTCTGCAATAATTCTATATGTTCATCAATTGATGGATTACCCAAAGTTCTTTCATGGTGTATTTAAAAGCAAGGGGGAAGAGGTTTCAGATACTAGCAAACACTTTTTAATCTTATAAATTTATATAATTTTACATGTTAAGTCTGATCAAAATACTGTTATGTGAATTCATGTTTTGCAGCATATACTAAAAGCTCCAGAGAGGATCTGCAAATCAGAATTCGCCTTTAACTAGAACTCCTCCCTCCCCTTTTTATAAGGAAACATCCGCTGTAGGTAAATTCAACTTATCTGTACTATGCTTTTAGATAAATGGCACAAATAATTGTAATCTTATCTATAAAGCAGAAACACAAGAAATGTTCCACTCTGTATAAACATCATATATTGCTAAATAAGATGAAGGAAAATAACTATAAAACTATTTCCCAAGAAGATGGAGAAGTGACTTTCCTGTAAGAAGATGGTAAAAGTCAGGTTCCTTAAGTGTCCTTATGATACAATGCCCTGACACACCACGTGTCCACTGTGGTACTACAAAGCTACTATACAAGTGAACAAACACTGGGTTTATTATATCCATTGCATGTGTCTAAAATAGCTAAAGAATATTAAATCAAAGGGAAGTGAAATGATCTGTAAGTCTAGACGAAGAAGCTGAAGTCCATGTCAACAGATAGTAAACTCTTAAGATGGTTCTGAAAGCTTAGCTTTTTCCCAACTTCTGTACTAACTGAGACACCTCTGTACATCAAATGGTGATAAAATTTTAAGATTTTTAGTATCAGAAAGAACGAAGACCTTACAAGTTCATAATCCTCTCTTTATTACTTTTCCCGAGCATTAAATATCTTTACTGCTAAAAGGTAAGTATCACCCTAGTTAATGTAACCCTGACCAAAAAAATGTGACGTAACCAAATACTCCTTAACCCTTCACAGGTCTCTGAATTACTTATGCGGCTTTAGAATTAATTCTCTTTCAATGTCTCCTCCTAACTCTGCTTTGTCATGGCGCCACTCATCTCACATGATGTATGAAAATCTATTGAACAGCATAAAGGAAAGGCCTGGAAACTTTCACTGAATTAATAATGTGAGATTATTTTCCTGGCTTCCTGAAGCTTCAGCAAGAGATAGAAATAATAGGCCTGCATTTGTCTTTTACAAATGAATTAAGAAAAAAAAAAAAATCAGAAAAAAAGAAGAAAAAGAGTAAGCAAACTACTGAATTAACCAAAGAGCAGTTTGCATCCATTGCATAAAGCAGAAATGTCAACATATGGCAGGCAGCAGAAATAAGGATGTAGACAGACGTGTGTGTGCTATGCAAACAACTGCACCCATGGCAAAAGGTACCACCCGTTGGCACCTCTCCAGCATTTACTGGCACCTCCTCTGGTCCTCTGGTGGTCAGCACACCTCAGCAGAGGGCTCAGGTGAGCCTGCCTCCAGCCGTCGAAGCTGCTTCAGGAAACCAGACAAGGGATGCTGCCTTGCCTCCTGTGGCCGAAGCGCTGCACAGCGCCTGCGTCCCTGCCCCAGGGTCAGGGCAGCATATGAGAAACACCACGCTGAAGAAATGCTAAATTATACTCCCTTCAGACAAGCTTTTGAAAGCACCTACACAGGACTTGCAACAAGCATAAAGTGCCAGTCTGAACACTGTTCAGTATCTCCATGATGGAATAGAATTGCTGGCATTGGCAACAGGCTTCAAAAAGTTTAGAAAAAATGATTTAACAAAACAAAAAACAACCAACCAAACAAGGTATTTTCATTTTTAAATTTAATTTACTCACTAAACAGATGATCTTCCTTCCTGTGGTTATGCTCACTACTTGAATCATTAATTTTAAGCATATGCTTTCCATAACTTTGGAAACTCTGTGGTATTAAAATTTTGCAAGCAGAGAATTCTTAATTAAAAATCAGTGAAAGGAAATACTTTCTTACTCACTGAGTATCGTAAGCAAATTCACAGCCAGAGAAACCATTCAGTCACCTTTTTAAAATCACAGGTCAGTTACTTCTAATGAAACACATACATCTAGTCAAAATGGTGCTGTCCCCTCACCCCCAGGTGCTGTCTTGATCTAAAGTTACAATTTTATTCTTTCATTATTATGTTTAATTAATTTTTGCTCCCCTACTGGCATCCTCATCTTCAAGTTTTGAAAAGTGTTTAGCTCCTATCTTTAATTGGTCTGGCTCCAAGCTCTCTCCAATAGCTTCATCCAACAGCCTAGCTTCATCTAACACATTAAAGATTTATGTAACACTATATATATATTCTCCACATTATTATTTGTAGCCAAGTCATCCCACAAAATCAAATCACACTAAAATGATAAAGGGCTTTCCTCTCTTCCATTAAAGCCTTTTCTTCGATCTTAGTCAGTGCCTTTCCTGTACCCAGTCAGCCTTTAATCTTTCTTTTTAAATGTCATACACTAGAACTGAATATTCAGCATTTACATCAAATACCACACTCAAAAATAAAACCACTTCAGTAGTATAGTACTTCCTTTCATTGAGAAGGATTCCCTTCTACCTCTTTGTGTTATACAGGCTCAGGTTGTTTCACTTTTCCCCAACTTTTGGCACCTCTTTTAAATTGCTGGTTTTCTCTATAGTCCTTCCTTCCCACCAATATAAAATAAGGAATGGTGGGTGGATGCGTAAATTTACGTTTGATTGCTTTAAAAAGTTATTTTGTTTAAAGGAATTCAACTTAGCAAATGAACACAGACAGAACTGTTAAAGACCTTCACAAATGCCTACTCCAGTAATAGTTACAATTTCTTATTTTATCTCAAAGAATTTTATACCTACTGTGTACACACAAAATACCAATTTCAGAATCTTATCAGTAAAAGATCCTGACTAAGGCAGCCTTCGTGCATAAAGCCTCAACAGACAACACAGCTGGGAATCACTCTTCTCTGACAAGTGCATTATTTCATTAGTTTCATGGGTTTCACTATTTTTAATCTGGTAAGATGTTGCGATTTTGTACAATTAACAGCTAGAAGAAAACTAGTTTAACTAACAGTCACCAGCATGGCAAGGAGACGCAGCGCGGGATTGTTGTCAGAGGATTTATTTAATTTGGTCTAGGGAAAAGTGTTTCAGCACAAGTGAGCTCCAGGGCTATTGTATTTACCTTGCTATCAGTATTCCAGTTAGGAGATTTCACTCCAAACTAGCTGTGTCTGCAGGAAAAGCCCTCTTCAGTTCATCTGAATTATGTCTATGTTGTGCTGGCCAAGCACTACCCTCCCTTTATGTTTAGCAGAAGGGGCCAAGGGAGCAGCATGCACAGCAGTAGGCACGCAGAGCACCCTGAGTGGAACTCTGCATTTCCACCCACAGCATCACCACCCCTAGAGCTCTCCACTCATTTCTTAGCCATGCACCCTTCATTATTTGCATGCTCCTTCTCCTGCAATGTTTCTGTGCTTTCTTACCAAACCTTCCTGAGTACTGACTCTTTTGCATGCCTATAAGGAAACAGACAAGTTATGTTTAAGTTGTGGGCTTGCCTGGTACACATACACACATACACATATATATCATGTTTACCTATGTAGGTGTGTATGAAGTGTTTCACTTTCCTCAGCCTTTAATCTACTAATGGTTTCAGTTGAAGAAGATTCCATAACTGATACCACAAAACATGCTTAGCTCCATTTTTGTGTTCTTTTGGACTGCTTAATAGATTTTTTTCCTGAAGTTTCAAAACTGGATTTCACCAGGATTCTGCATTTTGCCTAATCTGCAACATATGTTGGCTACTATGTTCTTCCAGGTATTAGTGTCACTACTTTAGAAAGCAAACCAAATGCATCTTTTCTTGAAAGTATATTGTCGAAGTATTATTTCAAAGAAGCATCAACAGGAAACACATTTCACAGTGTTAAAGAAGGAATGTTTTTTGCTGTCGCTGTTTCCTTTTGTAACTTTACAGAACTTGTGAATACTAGGAGGTCTTGTTTCCAGTAACCACTACATAACAGTTTTAATGGAAGCAAACAAAGCATAATCCAGGTAGCGACCTTGTTTGCAGAAGCCAGAAGCCTATTTATTCTTGAAGTAATCCCTTTGAAAAGTCAACAATATCTGGGAAATTCTTTTTTGCTGTCGCTGTTTCCTTTTGTAACTTTACAGAACTTGTGAATACTAGGAGGTCTTGTTTCCAGTAACCACTACATAACAGTTTTAATGGAAGCAAACAAAGCATAATCCAGGTAGCGACCTTGTTTGCAGAAGCCAGAAGCCTATTTATTCTTGAAGTAATCCCTTTGAAAAGTCAACAATATCTGGGAAATTCTTTTTTCAGAAAAAAAAAAAAAAAAAAAAAAAAAAAAAAAAAAAAAAAAAAAAAAAAAAAAAAAAAAAAAAAAAAAAAAAAAAAAAAAAAAAAAAAAAAAAAGGACTCACCAAAGGTTCAGCCATTACAAGTTCAATTTTCTTTTCAGCTTGAACAGCAAATTCAGCAAAGAGGCTTTTGATGACATACTCGCCAGGTTTGACATCAGGATCAATAGTAATGTTAGACATGATGATGCCTCTCTTTTCCCAGGTGGAAACAACACTTGGAGAAACTCTGCGTTTATTTACTCTGCTGGGTGGCGTGGAGGCTATAGGGAAAAAAATAAAGTAAAAAGCTATAAGTAGAGTTTCTAAACACAGTGTCTGTCATGTCTTTGCTTTCCCATCCACTACACGAACATATTCACACAGTAAATGCTGTAAACCAGAACGAGGAAATAAGTAGCTTTAATATCGAACAACATTTTCTTCTTTAGTTAGGCAGGAAATTCTACTGTAAGTTGCAGAAGGGTTTTACAATATAACTCATTTTTGTTACCAACAACATGTAAAACTGTCTTGCGCTCTGTGAATCGCCCTGTTCTGAATACAACTGTATGATGACCAAGATTACAGCTTTTAATATATGGTATCTTCAGTTTGAGTAAAAATCTCAAGGTTCAATGTAAAGGGTTATCCCCCCATATTCTGAGGCATTTGCCTGATTCAATTTTTATAAATCATTCATGAAGTTTCTACTTGGTGTCCAAATATCATTTAGAAAATATTTCCTTGGCCTCTCTTGGCACACTTTCTGTCAATAATGTTATTTTCCTAACAAGAACACAAACCCTTTCTAGACATGTCGTGCTAGCTATTTTTCTCCACTGTCTAGTCACAAATTTTAAAGACTTTTTCCTTATAAGAAATATTATTTGATAAAAATAAATAACACTGGATATATTAGACTCCTTCTCTAAGGATTAGTGCTTTCACCTTTATACTGAAATTATCATATACAAAGTTTACATATATTTATCCAACTTTAATTTTATTTTTCTCCCTAAGCACTCAAAACCATTTCTTTATTATCACAGTTATCACCCACCCAGTGTGAATTGCAGTACCCAAAATCTGGTATCAAAACTCACTCATACATGAGTTTAACGCACACATAATCAGGAGTAAATAATTACAATTATTGTCTTGCACACTATAAATCAAAATATCCACTGACATCTCTAATGATGCCTCAGATCTACCTAGCAAGGTCTGGCATTTCTCTAGTGTATTCCATGACTGCAGATAGTATTTTTAATTGATATTAAGAATTACCTATTGACATTTTACCTGTTTTCCTAAGATAGTTGTATAGGAAGCCTAGCCTCAGTCTGTTTTACTGTATTACATATTGTGATTTGTTCATGTAAGCTGCTTTAAGGCTTTCTGCGGTTAAGGAATGAGGAGATGCACTTGGACAATTTTGACAAACCTGCAAAATTTTTGTCTGTTTTCAACTTGTACATGTGCAATTCCTATTAGTTAAATATTATCTACAAATTCTAGTCAAACATCTTTAGCATTCAACTCATTCATGAAAATACTGGTTGCCACAGAGACCAAACCATTGGTACTTCGCTCCACATTTTCCAAAGTCTCTTGAGTCTCAGCCATTCACAGTTTTTTCTCTCGGTTCAGAAAGTTATATTTTAGGTAGCACAGACTTCCTTGGCTTCAAGTGAAAGCAATCATTTATCAAACACATTCGTGAAGCAAGCAGTTCAGTGGAAGTGAAAACAGAACAGTCACAACTACTTTAGCTTTTAATAAAAAGGAAGGCTACCTTCAATGAGATTCTGACTTGTGGTTTTTTCACCTAAGTTGTGTACAAACTTGCTGTTTAGTTATAGTAATGTGTATTTTTTTCCTTTACACAAATTGCAGTATGCTGTCTTCAAAACTGGAAGGACTTGCCAAGGTCACAGAGCTGAATTCCCAGCAACTGGGGCAACACCAGAATGACATGCGCACACACCACATGCCATGAAGAATTTCTGACCATACTTTAACATTTTGATCCAGCACTTCAGTCTTCGTAACAGAAGTCCTAAAAGACACAGAAGAGCGTGTGCCACACACCACACGCAATGGGAGATCAAAGACACTGCCCTGTTCTAGATCCCAATGGTGGAGGTTCACTAGATGAAAGTACACAAAGGCATTAAGAAACAGAACAAAGTGCATGCTGCAAAAGGAAAACGACAACCCGAAACACCTCACTTGAAAGAAAAATTCTTTCTTGTCCTGTATCTAATGACTGGCTTGTCTCTCAGTACAGAAGCATAAATGTGTCAGGTGCATTACAGTTCTTTCTGATGTCCACATTCTCCAGCATCTGTGCACTTGTCATTCTTAAGCCCTGACGCTTCCAAAGGCAGCCCAGGAAATGAGATATGCATTATACGTCAAGAACAAGAGCACAGATTTGAGAAGAGGTGAAAAGAATGAATACATCCTTCCTAGCCACAGCAGGTAACAAACAGAAAACACAAGTACGACACTGAAAAAAGCTACAATACACAGATTTTGACAACTTTCATTTCATCTCTATCTGCAAATGAACAAACTAAAAAATCAAGAACCTAAGGACTCCTAGGAGATACAACACATTTCTAAGTAAACAGTTGATTTTATCCTAAATATGAGAATTCCTGACAAAGCTAAAGCTTTGTTGGACTCTATTTTTAAATCACATATTGAAGCTAACAGACTAGAAAGAAACAAGAGAAGTTTAAATCTCCTTTTGAACATCCTTAGCTGTGCGTGGTCAGAAGAAATTTCGCATAGTAGCTGCTTTGGCTCCTTCTTGACTTACCTACTGGAGTATGCCACAATTCCCACATTATCAAGACTAGGGACTTAAGGGAACATGCCACAACTCCAGTCCTTAAGGGAACATGCCCAGACCACTCCTTAACATCGAGAAGCTGGTACTCAACCAGCTCTTGTCTCGTCCTGTGCAAGCAGATATAAGTGTGCAGCTGTGTAATGAACTGAACTGGAAAAGCAGCATTACTTTTTTTTTCTCAGGTTAATTTTGACCCAATCAGTTGTCCAATTCACTCACCACATGACTGTATATACGCTTGTGCCAGCACAAAGAGGAGGGTCAATGCAGGGGCAGCACTTGCCTTTTTACTCTTCCGGCAGCAAAGCAGAGTTAAGGTTATCTTACTCATTGGTGTTACTATCTCTGTGTTCACATGCACAAATTCTTCTGTTGGTAACAAACCTCCCCCCAATAAACCAAGGGAAAAACGTCAAATCAAAGCAATTAAAAATGTTGCTATGAGAAGATTACAAGTATGTTACTTCTGCTGAAATGCCAGTATATTCAAAAGGCAGAATAAATGACTAGGATTAACTTCCATCTATGAACTCTAATTCATGGCAGCATTAATGGTTTACATTAACGACTCTTGCCTTGCAAATGACAATGTTCATGACTTTATCTGTTATGTAAAAGTAGTCAAGTTAGTTAAATACATACTTGGGGAGAAAAAGGGGAAAGAAACTTGACTGTGTTTAATAAGAAAATGTAAGTTAGAAGATACAGTAGGCTTAAAGAAAAGCCAAAATCTGTTATCGGGTCTCTTAACTAGGTCAAGCAACACTATTATCTGGTATAATTATGTTTGGTGGGATTCATTTACTCATGAATTTGCAATTGATAACACTATAGGAAGAGTCTAGGTGGACTGTTTAATGGAAAAAAAAAAAAAAGTCACTGCAGGTCAGGATTAAATAATTCCTTTCTGCTATTCTTTGCCATCAAAGCATAAGGCATGCTCTGCTCTTAGCTGCCAGAGAAAATGTAAGTTTCAAACATTGTTTTGAAGCCTCAAAACATGGACCATTCTGCAGAACTACAGATGAAATCTGCAATCAAAAATCACACCACTCGCAACAGTTCAGAAACAAAAAACTACTTTCAGAAATCGCTTGAAAACTTTTGAGTGTTATTCACTTGAAACAATATCCTGTTTGTTTGCCCTGATGACAGCTAGCACTACGTGGGAAATCTGGGAGCAAGTGCCTTAGGAAATCTTTGTTAAACAGCATTGTTTGGTTGCTAGGGCCACACCAAATTGTTTGGATAGTTTCAAGGAACAGTAAAACAATACAAAGGATAATTAGACAGACAACGTACTCCTAGGTCAAAAGGCAACATGCCCTGATGTATGCTAAATGAGAAACAAAGTTGCTTCATGTTAAACTCCAGAACTAGGAAAGGTTACTTAATACCCAACTTGATATTACAGAACACTATTTTTATCATCCTACTTCTCTTTGTGTAGCCCAACCACAACAAATATTTGAGGAGGTAAGTAGTATCCTATTTACCAACAAGATTATTAAGGATTCAAACATACAAAGCAGGTACCAAAAGGTAACAAATGCGCCCCAGGCTGCGACAGTCTGTGAGTGCATTTTACTTCATGGCTAATGTGAAATGATCATTTTTAGCTTTCCTACACTTGTTTGGGTACTACTTTACACTTAGCCAAGTGTTGACATTTCATATGTGCTTTGAACAGTAGTTTCCAAGTTTTTCGTGTCTTTAACTGAAATTTGCTTTCAGTCGCTGCTGTTTCTCAGTATGTTAGAAGGGTTGGACTGAAGCAAAACCTCCATCAGGCATCTCCCCTCTCTCAAGATACTTGAAATTACATTTAGAATTATTTTATGTTTTTTAAATAAGGTATTGACTATAAAATAAGGATACTCAACACATTTTTGAGAGGGCATCCATAGTCCTCCTCAAGCAGATATTCTTCAATGCTACTTTTAAGTTCATTGCTAAGGCAGTAAATAATTTTACACCGCTTACATTTAATAATTAAGCTTTTTATTATTATTTTTTCAGCACACTTAGTATCACAAGTTCTTTAAGTTTCCTGTGATACTTGTTGCAGAATAGGGTTTGCATGTCCAACTGACAGCATGAAAATTCCCAAAGATTGAAAATATTATCTGTGTTACTTAAAGGAATTTTAATGAAGCTCCATGTCTTCTACTCTGATAAACATCAAGAACATTTCATCCTACCTCACAGAAGGGATATTAATATACATGGGAACATATCTTGTTAAGAGTGCTTCATAGCAACAAATCTTCAGTATCACTTTTTTTCCCTAATAAGGATGTCAATACCCAAACAAGATGGCAACCCATCCAGTGTCATCCCAACGAATTATGAGCAGAGACAAAAAGTCAAACCTAAGTTTCCTGTACCCCAGACCAGCAGTCTGTTTTCTAGAGC